TATTGGACTACGCTTGGTTCAATCCCATTTCTATTGAACTATGTTTTCTGCACCACCACTTATGAACTTATTTTCATTAATATTTCTTTTTCATTAGAGCTGTTCTATGACCCACCTCCAGTCATACTTTGTAAGTGTTCTACGTTTGATGACAATTACGTTGTACTCTGAGAATGATCTCTCCCTCTCTACTATGGTTTTGCACTTCACTTCACAGTTCAAGCTTGAATTCAAGTTTTGCACTACTGAACATGTTACTGCACATATATGCAGATTGTATATAATAGAAAGCAGTTATCCCATGGTAACTCACTGAATTACATGTAAATTTTTTAAAATGTTTTCACAATATTAGGATTCATGTTGATAATCACATGTCACCATGTACAATTTTGAGATATGAAGAAATAATGTCACTGCCAGTTTTGACCATTTTTAATGACATTTTGGTCCTTTGTACCTGATAAATTACATGTTTATTTTTAATTTCACATCAATTGCATAGATGAACATGACAATCCTCAATTCGAATCAAACCTTCTCAAACAAATACGTGATTATCATGCTCTTTGCTAATCAAGTAAAGAGCTTTTTGAGACTCTCATCATCTTATAGTTATATTATCTGCTAAACTTTGTTTTCAACATATGCAGTAAATTGAGTTATACACCTAAATCACCTAGTTACAGAGTCGGAATTTAGAAACTGATTTCTTTGTTATCTGGAAAACCTGGAATCCTGTTATGAACACAGTAGCAACAATGGCCATAGAAAATACATGTATCTTAAAATGAATGCTTCATATTGAAAATTATTGGTTGGAAAGTCCCGGGTGTGATTGGACTTGATGATCAATCACAACCAAATCTACGGAAATGTTTTGTAATGTTATCTTGTGAATACCGTGATTGTTGCATTTGATATATAACACATGTTACTCCATACATAAAGGACTACAAACAATACATATCCCATAATATTACTTCAAAAAGAAAACTGCACACATAGTCTGCTGGGCACCCAAAAATGATTGAAATAAACCTACCCCGGTAGTTTGTGTCAGTCTGAATACATGGATTCCAATTACCGGTAACTGTAATTGTTGTTTATTTCACTCAATGTGTGAAATGTTTCTGTTCTTCTCAGGGTACAACTTTAAATGTCATACCGTATTTGCTCTGTTATAAGCATGTCTCCAACAAAATTATTTCTTGTAAAATGAATCATTAAAACTAATTTTACCCATAAAAACACTATGGTAATGTAGATAAACTGCTAATATAGCAAATTTTGTATTGAAAATAAAAGCACTTTATGACTAACTGCATAAGAGAATCCATTGATAACGCATGTAGCAGTTGTATGCTAATAAGTTGTTACTTTGCTATTTGAAATGTTACAACTGATTGATGAAATGCAAATCAAAATAGATGCATTAGCTTGTTTTCATGTAACTTTATGATTTTCTAATAGTTAAAGTGATGAGCTGCTCTTGTGATCATTTTTAATTGGTAATTAATCAAATCTTATAAAATGTTTCAGCCATTATGTCACAGGGTATAGTGATGTAAGACAGTGTCAGTGTATACTGTGATAAAAACTGTAGCTTAATATTGGTTACATACTGGTTGAAAATACTGACAACTTTCCAGTAATAATGTATTCAAAATCATAGGCTATATTATGTTTTACTTAGATTTTATTGAAAATTAATTTGTATATTTATCAGCCATTTGTTCACAAGTGGTAATTGTCCCCTGTAGAGTTTATTGAATACAATACAGCCAAAATGTTACTTAGCATTTAGGTTATTTTGTTTTCAAAACCATCTTAATTGAGTACTTTGCCTTTGTTCCTTATTATTATAACTTAGGTAATTACTACTTTGAATAAGTTGAAATTATGATGATAATGATAAAAGTTTTTATGATGAAGCAATGCCATCTTATAGCCAGGTTGGGAGTTCAGTTATGCCTGGATTGTTTTGTAGTTCATTACATGCTACACGATATGATCAACATATCATATTTGAAGGGTATTCTTACGAATTCCCCAGTCACTGTGACTCCATATCTATGGAACTCAACTGTGTTTATTGCAAGAAAACTTCATGAAAATGTTACTAAAATCTGTCCTTAAATGCTCAGAACTTAAACATGTTTTACATCCTGGGTATTTAACTGCTTAAATTTTTGATTGTACAATGCATTTTATAGTTTCAATTACACAATAGGGATTTGTAGCCATTACCAATATCTGTATGATTTCTATGGCTGTCTCCTCAGATGTTTCATTAATTATGTCAAATTGTATGATTATTACTGGACTTTGTTTACAGTATAGATGACTTCAATAACAACTATTCAGTAAATAGAGCAGTAAAAACTCTCCATACAAGTAACAAATGTACTATATGTTCTAGTAGTGATCTCTTTGTCTATTTGATGTGCACATATGTTGTAAAGCTAACTGTGTGAAGTACTTTGCATGCTGTCCATCAGGCAATGTGTGTGTCATCTGATCACAGTGTTCTAAACTATGTATTTTACAATGTCATCTCTTTATTTCTTTAGACACCTGGTTTACGTATCATTCACCCTCATAAACCATCAACTCATCATCCGTCAAGTGAAAGAAGATCAGTATTTGATCCACCAGGGTGAGTGGCCATTTACTGACTGTTACAAATTGCTAAACAGACACTACATTCTTTTACTACTGGAGTAAATATCCTGTTGAAATATATCATGAAGTGTCAACATGTGTAGTGGATTGTAGTATATATTTGACATGTGTCAACATTAATAATGTAGATCTCACGTGTCAACATTAATTGTGGATTTTAATGTAGATCTGACATGTGTCAATCATTAACAGTGTAGATCTCACGTGTGTCAACATTAATTGTGGATTTTAATGTAGATCTGACGTGTGTCAACATTAATCGTGTAGATCTCACGTGTGTCAACATTAATTGTGGATTTTAATGTAGATTTGACATGTGTCAACATAAATAGTGTAGATCTCATGTGTGTCAACATTAATTGTGGATTTTAATGTAGATCTGACATGTGTCAACACTAATAGTGTAGATCTCACGTGTGTCAATATTAATTGTGGATTTTAGTGTAGATCTGACATGTGTCAACATTAATAGTGTTGTTCTCACGTGTGTCAACATTAATTGTGGATTTTAATGTAGATCTGACATGTGTCAACATTAATAGTGTAGATCTCACGTGTCTCAACATTAATTGTGGATTTTAATGTAGATCTGACATGTGTCAACATTAATAGTGTAGATCTCACGTGTGTCAACATTAGTTGTGGATTTGAATGTAGATCTGACATGTGTCAACATTAATAGTGTAGATCTCACGTGTGTCAAGATTAATTATGGATTTTAATGTAGATCTGACATGTGTCAACATTAATAGTGTAGATCTCACGTGTGTCAACATTAATAGTGTAGATCTCACGTGTGTCAATATTAATTGTGGATTTTAGTGTAGATCTGACATGTGTCAACATTAATAGTGTAGATCTCACATGTGTCAACATTAATTGTGGATTTTAATGTAGATCTGACATGTGTCAACATTAATAGTGTAGATCTCACGTGTGTCTATATTAATTGTGGATTTTAGTGTAGATCTGACATGTGTCAACATTAATAGTGTAGATCTCATGTGTGTCAATATTAATTGTGGATTTTAGTGTAGATCTGACATGTGTCAACATTAATAGTGTAGATCTCACATGTGTCAACATTAATAGTGGATTTTAATGTAGATCTCACATGTGTCAACATTAATAATGTAGATCTCACGTGTGTCAATATTAATTGTGGATTTTAATGTAGATCTGACATGTGTCAACATTAATAGTGTAGATCTCGCGTGTGTCAATATTAATTGTGGATTTTAGTGTAGATCTGACATATGTCAATATTTATAGTGGATTTTAGTGTAGATCTGACATATTTCACTATTTTCACAGTCTTCCTATTCACCTATTCAATGTTGCTAGCCCTGTCGTTTTAATGCATAAAAAAAATATGAATAGTCATTTCATTTCACCCTTCTAAATTTTGTTGAGTCTATTAAGCCTATTGTATGTAAATAATGGCATGAACCAAATTCAGTAGTTATCATGTTCATCAGTTATTTCATATCAATTGTAGATCGGATCCACCCAAAAGAAGATACAAAAAAATATCTGGTACAAAGAGACGCAGCGCCTCCTACAGTCCAAGTGGTAAAAATCATAACCGAAAAGGCAGTGGTACTGATAGTGATATGGAAAAAAAGAGGAAGGTTCGTGGCAGGAAAGCCAGTAAAGGTTCATCAGGATTCAGCATCGTCACATCTAATTCTGCACCATCAGGAGGACACGGTAATCATATTTGCCTTCTGATTGGTTATTTGAAAGACTTTTTCATGAAAATGAGATTTAAATTTGATTGGCTCATTCCAAATACTGTTGATTGGTCTCATTCGTTAATTTTTATAATAATTTTAGTGAAGTTGTGAAACTTGGTTAATTTTTTTATTTATGTTTTTGTTTTATTGGCTCGCCTGTAATGAAGTGAATGGAAATTCATAGTAGTGGCAAAACGTCTGTTGTGGGTCATCATCATAAACTTTTTCTGTGGATGTGAACTCCAGTTGAACTTCTATGAATTGTTTCTTTATAGAGTCATTATGTATAAGATCCATAGTTGTTCCTAAATTCTAATTAGGTGATTACTCTCCAACTTGTATATATGGTTAATCTGTATACGTAGATGAACCTCTCACCCTATGCTATGTTCTTCCCACCATATTCTGTAATCTTCCCTACCCTTTGTAGTACATCTCATGCTGTGATTCCCACCTATGTAATGATAGCCCCACCCCATGCTATGATCTGCGAACTCCTACATATACAGGTCGAACTATGTGTAGTTTAACTATGTGATTACAAATATAGAAAAAATATTAATATGTTTGAGTTTCTGAAATAAATTTTAGGAGAAACACCATTGGAAGGATCTTCTGTGAAGTTATTACCCCAGGCTGAGAAACTATCGCCAAGAAGGTATGTTTGTATATAGTTCAGCCATGGTTTGCATGCTTGTATAGTAGGAAGTGTTAAACTAGTGAGTTTTACTCAACAATTCAATGCAGTGGTTTTTAAATTTTTTTTTTTACAGTCACATACTAAATCAGTGTAAAAGTATATGATAGTACTGGACATAGTAGCATGCCTTACCCCAATATATCTATCATGACCAGTCACATGCTCTTCTGTTTGCAAATACACTAGTATAACTGGTAAAATCACTCTGTGTAGAAGGTGCCAGTGTACTAAATGCACCTAATGCCACAATCTGTTGCACTCTTTCTCTCCCTGCAAACTCAGCCTTCAAGAAATTAAAAGACTTTTACAGTTGGTATATAACTCAGTAATTTGGGTTTTTATTTCCTGTTATGCTTTAGTTCTTGCTTGCTAAACAAAATTATCTGCATGGCATGAATTATGTTGATTAATTATATTTTTGTTCGTTATAAAAAATAATAATTTACACATAGTTGCAGTGCTGTGGGATCAATCACCGACCGTAAAGAATATTTTTTTCTGTCCGTGTTTTGAGTACATGCTCATTCTGCAGTCTGGTGAAATTAAAACTGCCTATGCTATATCATTTATGTATTGTAAACCAGGATGTAATTAACTTTGTAAATAATTTATGTTTAATTACAATTAACTAACAGATTGTGTTTTTAGCAAGTACAATAGGAATGAGAAAATGTGCTTTACAAACACTGTACTGCTTGTAACATACATAGATAATGCAATGTTACATATTTTTTATTTGATAATATGTTGTAAACTAAATTGAAGCATGAAATAATTGTAATTTTAACAATACATTGAACATTTTAAAATATCAACCATCATTATAGATCAACCTTTTTAAAAGTGTTACATGCATTATAGACTGGACATCAGATAATTCTATTTTACTTTTTTTGTTTCTGCTTTCAAGATAATCACATGACATGTTGTTGTCAGTTTAGTAATGTGACTAGTCTTGTGATCGCTTTCTTTTCCATTCATCATGTGACTTGTCATGTGATCACTATGCTGCTGCAATCATGTCATGTGATTACATTCTGTGCCACTCAAGTCATGTGATTTCTGCCTCATTTTCACTGTGTATTCTCACTCTGTGTTTTACCTGTTTACCCTTGCAAGCTTACATGATGTGAAAAGACTGTTAAAACTGGTATGTCATATGATGTATTCTGACTATTCCAAAATATGTAAATCTACCTCTCTTAAAATAAAAGTAAAAAATATCAAGCTATCTGAATTATGCCAACCATCAAAACTATTCTGTAGTAATATATTTTCATGTACACTATTTTGCCTCCACAGAGGGAGGGGAGGGCCCAATGAAAACTACTTTATTATATTTTGGCCTACCCTTTTTAAATAAAGTGTTAAATAAGAAATCAACATGGGTACCAATATATCAATCAAGATGAGAGGGGGGGGGGGTTATCGCTGCAATATCCTAAAAATATTAATGGTGACTTCAATAAATGAAGTTGTGAAAAACTGAAAATTAAATGTTTTCATATTTTGGAATGGTTGATAAAACGTCTGTACATGTACTATACTGTCAGCATCTCAGTAGTTTATGTAGAGTTGACTGTTTTGGTAATTGTATTAATGTTATTATATGCACTACTGTATAGTGGATTGGATAAGTGTCGCTTGATTCTCTTTTACCTTATATTTCATATTTAATCATGGCTTCTTTGTTTCAATGGCTTCATTTACATACTGTTAACCATTTCATTTTCACTGCTATAAATGTTTGCAATTTCAAGATTTCAACATTCGTAAACAAAATGGAGAAATTTTCACTGCTACAATACTTTGCAATGTTCATGGACTCAAAATTCATGTTCTTCCAGTAAGAAATTTTTTTTTTGCTACAAATAAAAGTTTATGAAAATATTACAATATCAGATGCCTCAACAATATCAAGTAATTTCAACAAATTCCCAAATACACAGTGAAGCTTTCTTCTTAATCATGATAGAGGGCGCTATATGATAATATAAGGAATACATATCTGTTATATTAAACCTATAAATAGACTGAGCATGCAGATTGTTAGTTAATGAATGTTTCAATAGACCAGTTTGTTTCAATCTGTTTATTTCTATTTGTAAGGCATTCATGTATATTGCCTTGAAGTGAGAACTTTTGACAACACACATCATAGTATGTGCATGCCCTTGTATTTATGCACCCTTGGTATCTTAGTTAGACAAGGCTCACTTGACATCATTTCATAATTAATACATGACAGCATGTACAATACCCCAATCACATCTAACATTGCATCCCCTAATATTTTCTTCTTATTTAAGTACTTGTGCAGAGGAGACCGAAACAAAGCAAGATCTTTGCTACGAAAGTAAACAAAATCATTTTGTGGAAATAGTAGACTTTATACTTAAATTGTGTTTTAAATATTAAGTGAATTACTTTAGTGATGCTCTAGACTATTTGACACCCCTAGCTCTTTTTATAATGGTATAATCTACTTTGATTACTCCTGCTGCGTGTGAATTGCTCACACGTAGATAGGGGTACATGCCTTATAGCAAGCATGGATAGAAACTCTTTCTGTAGAGTAAATACATACTTGTGTGTTTTAAGAGTAGATGTGTTTATGAAATGATATGGCTGCTATAATTGCAATTCTATGTTCTACATCTATGTATATAAAGACTTTGATGTGTCAAGTAATATGCATTATATATAATAAATTTACTAGTTACGGTTTTCACAAGATAAATATCCGGGACAGAAGTTCAGGATTTTTAAGTATATTACTATTACTAATGTTAACACTGCATCCAAGCAAACATTAAATATTACATACTTTCTAGATTATATGCAGCAATGCATGGTGGGATTTATTGTTTTGAAAACAAAATAACTTTGTTGATAAATGGCACATTTTGTTTGATCCAGGATAGTTTGTGAACACCGTAGCTTTCAGAATTTTTTTCAACTGTCAATGCTATATATACACCAATAGTTTAAAAAACTAAAATGGCAATATTGGTTAAAGTTGCTGACTTGTTTGCTATGCATATCTCAAAATCGTTATGTGATTTGATTAAGTTGGGTCAAACCATCATCAATTGGAGATGTCAAACTGAGGGACACATTGAATATCAGTGGAATTAGTATACTGCTCATTTAGCCAAATAGAACACCTTTGACAAAATGATTTAATCTAATTTGTTCTAATCATGTAGCGAACTTGCCTAACAAACCAGTCACCAACTTAGCTGGTCATGTTGCTGTGTCTGAAACAATATAGCATCGGCTTCATCTTTCCTAATCCATGTAATATCAAAATAATTTTTGTTTCAGACTCAGCGTGGATGGCTACGACCAAGAAGTACTCTCTCATAAACCGCCCACTCTAAGTCGCACTAAAAAGAGCAACTCATTAGATGGGGTAAGTATTAAAGTATTTGTTTGCTCTTAGAAAAGATAGAATGTAAGCAAATATATAATGTATGTACATACAGGCTCCGTATTGTACTGTTATAAAACTCAGACATTATATAGCAGTCCTGTTTACAGTGAAAATAGACAATTTTGAAAACCACATGCCATAATTGGCTCTGATATATCCACCAACAAATTAAGTTTAACACCAAAACTATTCAAATTTATGACATCATCTTAGTTGCAGATTAATGACAATTTTTAGTCTATTCTTAAAATCATTACAGTCGTTACAATTTAGTATTGGCTTAGGAATACCTCATGTGACAATGTCACTTAGTATTGGCTTAGGGATACCTTATGTGACAATGTCACTTAGTATTGGCTTAGGGGTATGTGACAATGTCACTTAGTATTGGCTTAGGGATATGTGACAATGTCACTTAGTATTGGCTTAGGGGTACCTTATGTGACAATGTCACTTAGTATTGGCTTAGGGATACCTTATGTGTCATCACATAGTAGTAGTGTGCTGAAAAGCCAAACTGAACAAAAAAGTACCAGAATACTAGTACACTTAGTTTTTTGGTTTGGTAACTGGTAAATATTTATTTGCCCTGCCTACCCATTGCATGTCCATTGTTCACCACAGTATAATGTACTGAATTGTGATATCCATTCACAACACTTTACCCTGCTGTTTTTATATGCATAATTCATTCACCTAATATGGTCACTTTCAAAGCATATATGAAATTAACTCTCCATAACTATATCAAAATGTACAATAATGGAGAGTTAAGTGATACCAATTTGCACACTTCTAATATGTGCAATGAAAGTAACTT